AGAGGTTTTGCACCATCACGTGACGGCAGCCATCTTAGATGTCAGGAACAATACAATCGTTTTACATGAGAAAAAATTCAACTTCCGAGAGCAAAGGGATTGTATTCTTCTGCCATCTAACCACAGGCAGCCCACGCTGTATTATCGGCGTGAGCACGTGATGGTGCAAAACCTCTATTACATTACGCTCTGTTGTTTTTATTATTCACACAGAAAAAATGAAACGATAGGCAGGAGAAAAAAGGTAAAGAAAGAAATTGAATACGAAAAGCGAAATAAGTTATATTCTTTCGATCGATTAATTAATGGGATGAGAAAACCAAATAATCGAAAAATGCGGACGGAACAGCCGAGCCACCCTCGTCCTATTTATAGTATGTTAATTATGATAAGTTCATTAGTACGCAAATGTATTATATTTTGCATATCTCAATACTGTCACTATAAGGTTGGTATATTTTTTTAAGAAGAGAGCAGAGGAAAGCAGAGACTCAAAAGGCAGACCGATGATTGAGCGTTTAACATTATCAAGAGAGACAACAAGCCAACGGTTAATGTCCAGAGGTGAGAGCATACACCATTACATCACTGGGCCAACATCCAACCACCTCCAGCCTTTTATTTCTTATAAAAATCCACAACATGCTAAACTCCAATTTGATCTGTCAGCTAGCCGTGATCTGACTTAGTCAGCCCAGATATTAAATATAGTATCACAAAGTTATCTGATAGTTTAGGCGTGATAAGTGAGTGACAGGTGGTGCTCACATCTCCAAGCAGTGCCGTTATCTTTTTTCCCCTTATCATAGATACAGCTTTTGGGGTTCATATAGTTGGCGGGAAGACATCTATTGGCGGTATTATGGGAGCGTTTGTTGTCGGCGTTATTCCTGGTACTAAAGCACAAGAATTACTTTGCATTGGTAGGTGAGAAATGATTGACGTATTTTCATCTCTTAAGTTGTGGTAAAATGGCAATAACTGTGGCAGTGTACTGTAGCATATCGTGCTTATAGAGGATCTGCACCATCACGTGATGGCAGCCATACCAGGAAGCAGGAACAACTGAATCTGGTCAAACTGATTTACATGAAAAATAATTCATTTTTCCTGTAGAAAAAAAGCTTTCATTGTTGTGTTTTCGGTTATGGCTGCCATCACAGGATGGTGCAAAGCTTCTATAGACATTTTTTACCAAATTTGCTTGAGTGACCACTAAACAATGGCTGCAAGTCCAGGTTGGACTTGATGTGCTCACATATTTATTGGCATTTTATAAAGTTCAACGTAGACTTGGCCATTGCTTTGGGTCACTGAAGTGAATTTGGGAAATAGGGAAATCTTTGTTGAACATATATCACATGCAGCTAGACAGACAGACATTCAGAAAACTTTATTTAACCACTGTAAATAACATCAGCTACATCTATGATCATTTAGTTAAATTTTAAGATGTTTTTACATGTTTGCCGTTTTCTGCTTTTCATGTTTGTCGACCAACTAGAGGAGTGTGTCCAATCATTACCTAAAAGTCCCACTCATAATGCTTTTCAATGTATTTATAACTTCAAGAGTCTTTTTCAGGTGATCAGGTTATAGAGTGGAACAACATATCCTTAGTTGATGCAACATTTGAAGGGACGCACGAAGCAGTAGCATCATCTTCTGATGAAGTGTCTATTGTAGTTTGTCATGTAAGGTGAGTGCACAGCTGACTGTGTCATGATTCATAAAGTACATAAAATACTACTGATTTAAACAGAGGCAATTTAAGTGCAACCTACACCTACCTAATTACCGTTGATTTCATTAAATTGCTGACGTTTTGTTTCTTTAGAGGTGCAAATGAACGTTTGGCTGTCTTTCAATATCGTGAGAGCTTGAGAGCCCCTCAATATTTTGGACCTTGCTACGGCCATATTATATAATGTTTTTTTTTTTAAATATCAGTAAAACAGATCATCAATCCCCACGACCTTCGTGCAGTCAAATAGTCAGCGATGCTATAGAAAAGACAAGAGCAAGCTTTGGTGAGTGAATTTATCGACCTTGTCTGTTATATCACAGGCGCTTGACAGCCACGACCCTAAGCTCCACACTACTATAGGTAATCATGAAAGCCCAACATTCGAATTAGAATTTAGAAGTTGCGTAGGGAGGAAAACCAGAGAATCCTGAGAAAAACCCTCGAAGCACAGGAAAGAACCAACAAGTAACTCTACTCACATATGATAACGATCCCGGGATTCGAACCCGGGTCTCATTAGCGTGACAAGGGGCATTAGCGTACGCGTTTTGACCATTGGCACTTCAGGGAAATGTAACGGCGTTTTACCGTGTCTTGTTGCTTTTCATTTTCTAGCTAGAGAAGCAAGAAGTTGCAATTCTCAAGAAGAGCTACTTCAATTGATCCGCAGCAGATCCCACAATGTTGTAGCTGACAGCATTTCTTGCAGCAACTCTCTCGGCGTTGAAGCCAACGCCTCGGAAACGGTAAATTTTGTCCATGCTGTTATCGATTGAAAATATAGTTTACCTAGTGAATTTCTTTAAGCAAAAAAAGCAATAACAACGACAACAACAACAACAACAACAACAACAAAAATAATAAATAAATAAACAAACAAAGCAAAACAGATAGCTCATTAAGCAATTTGGTTTCCCTTTTCTGTAATTAACCATTAGTGTCATGCAAGGCTCAGGTCTAACGTCGAACTTCACATGTGCCGAACATAACTGAAACAACAAGGATAACAAGGCGGTCTTCTTCAATGTCATTTGGTTCGGCTCAGTTCCACGTTTGACATGGGCCTAACTTAGTCTCGTGGTCTGAACAATAAAATATGGGATGTTATACCAGTACCAATATTTATGCTGGCTATTTTTGGACTTCAGATGAATTTTTGGTCGCACTCATCTGGAAATGATAGAAGAAGTGGGCTCAAGGTAAGAATGCTTTGCTCTAAGCACGGGGGACGTGCGCCGCCATTTATATTAGCTATTCCATTGTAGAGGAAAAAACTGGCAGTGCATTTTGTGCTGTTTTAGGGGGTATATTTCCAAGATAACGTCTTTTTCGCCATCCAAAATAGCCCCGAAATGCACTGCAATGCCAACTCGACCCAGTTTTTTTCCTCAACCTCGGAATCAGTGGCCTCAACCTCTCGCCGCCTAGAAAAAAAAAAAAAAAAAATCACTAGGGTCAATAAAAATGTAAATGTTTTGTAAACCTTGCAGTCATGACATTGCAACATTTCATTTTTATGGATTCTTAAATTTTTAATGGATTGTCTTAACATGTTAATTTTGTTTATATACGGCTTGTCTTATCTTACTCCCTTATCTTTCCTTTTTTCTACTCCATGATAACCAGATATCTTTATGGTACGATCCCGGAGGACTCAATCTCATCACCAAAATAATTGAAGCACGAAGATTGCCATTGGGAACGACTCCAGGCGATGAACTTCCCAACCCTTATGCCGTGGTTAACCTACTGCCTATCAGAGAGTAAGTCACGTCTTGATCCTTAGATACGTACGCCTTTTACTGATTTCATGTAGGGGTGGGGAAAAACCAAGTGGAATTTGACACCTTGACAAAATTCTTCTCTTTTCCATAGAATTACTTAATGGCCCCCTCGCAGCAAGTGGGAATACAGCTCAATTTGGAGAACATAACAATAGTTTTCCAATTCTCATGTAATTCAAATTCTTTTGTTTTGTCCTCCAAATTAAGCTGCTTTAATGCCACATGCAAAGGGTCTATTAAGTTTTGGTAAGGTTTTAAGATAATGAGCATGTCAAATTTTCTTCCAGGGAGGATGGGACTACTTCAAGAGATGCCAAAATCCCTACCCAAGCAGCTGTACTTAATGTTAGATTGTCTATATGGTGCCCCTCCCTCCCCTGGTAATTACTGAACATTCATATAGTAGTATAAATTAGAGAAGAATAGAATTGTTCCTCTTAGAGTAAGGGGCGGCAAGGGTGACAAGGATAGGGAGGGGAACAAACAGTTGTGGTTTTATTATTTGTGTTCTTTTTTTATCACCAGTGTTTCAACTCAGTTTAGGACCGGCGTTAAATTTCAGACCCAATGTCCTGTTTGGAATCTGACTTTCATTTATTCCAACATCACCGAAGAAGAGGTACTGGCATATTGGTACTATCAGGTGTATTATTTCATCATCCGATATATTTAATCTACATTCCTTCTTCTATATATAGCTCTCATCAAGATCTTTGGAAGTCACACTCTGGAGTGAGCGAAAAACTCGTCGACATCGATTTCTTGGTAAAGTAAGTCAGAGAGTTACTATTATTATAAACTCAGTAAAGGTAGTACTGTTTGCTCATTTGGATACGTACTCATTGATACGTAGTTTTACCATGAATTTGCACGTCCCAAGATCTTTCTCTGGAAAACTCTCAATGTTTTGAGACGCTCTTTAAGTACTATAACATTAGCAGCGCGCGGGGGGAAGGGTTCATCCCGTACATCAACGAATATAAACTGAGGCTTGATAAAGAAAAAAAAGAGATACTTGAACGAGGAATTTCAATTTTCTGTTCTTCAAAATAGGGCGAAAATCAGTACTCAAATATATGATTGCTATATACACGTTGCTGTTCCGTCCAATCCCGCCTTAACACGTGGAACAAATGACCGGACGTCAAAAATACTTACATTAGACGGCGCGCGAGGTAAAAATGCCATTATACTTTGCGCATATTGTTATTAATTTTTTATGCGTTTCATGTACAAATCGAAGTGGATTTGAATGACATTGTTCTCAGTAACATACCTCAATGGTACACGTGAAATCAATGACGTCAATGATACATTAAGGCGGCGCGCGATTTAAAATAAATCCCATTAAACTTTGCGCATGGCGCTCTAAATGTTTTATGTTTGTCACGTACAGATCAAAGTGGACTTGAATGGTAGTGTCCTCAGTAACATACCTCAATGGTATTACCTAGAAGATTATTTTGCGTTATTCGATGAGATTTGTATACCGGTGAACAGACGATATACTCTTTCCTCGGGAGAAGACGGTAAGTCGTTAATGTTGATTTATGTTGAATAGCAGACTAAATAAAAAAAACGCAAATATTGAATATGGTTACAAATCAAACAAAAAATATTCTTCAAAAAGCATAACACATGGTATGATGATGAACATTAGTCCCTGAAATGGGTAAACATTAGTCCCTGAAATGGGTAAACATTAGACCCTGAATGGGTAAACTTTTTCTGGCAAACCAGTACACCAATTTGGTTAAATTTCATGGTTGATTGCACTATATTGCCAGCAACTTTGTAGGTTACACCTTGTAATGATACTTTAATTCATATAATCAATGGCTATTCCAAACTTTTTACCATTAAAAATAAAATAAAAATTTAAAACACACGAGGCGAAAGAATGTCAAACTTTATATATTTATTTTTCTACTTAAAACTTGCGTTTTTTTAATATTTGCGCATGAGTATCACGCAACTTTTCTTGTTTCTAAAAATTTAGTGACGAAATTATATGTGGGCATTGACGAGATGAGAAAACAATTTGAGCTGACTTACAAACCACGACGGGCAGCAAGCTACATTCTAAGGTCGTATCAGTCTCGAAGAACTATTGCTGGAGAATTAGAATCAGACTTTAGCGAGGGATTCGGCAAAAGAAGAAAAACAAACTCAATTCTCTCGAGGAACCGGGCAGAGTCCTGTTCTCTAAACCGACTTCTAAGTTACACAACACCAAAAGGTACGCTTGTTTTTGGTATATCTTAGTATATCGTGATTAAGATCTATCAATGGACAATTCTTAAAATTATATTATGTGAGGCTAACACGGAAAGACATAGCCTGCGTAGCGTCGCTTTGGGAAAGGGGGGGGGGGGGGAGGAAAAGCAAGGCAAGGGGTATATTTTCATGTTAGTTTCATGTTAGGGAAATCGGAGAACCTAGAGAAAAACCGGAGACCCTAGAAAATAACCGGGTTCCCTCGAATCAAGGAAGAGACCCAAACTCTGCTGCCATATGATGCCGAGTCCAGAAATCGAAACCGAAATAACCAGGGTTGAGAGGCGAGTGAACTACTACTACGCCTCTCTGGATTTCCCATCTATCGTTAATTAGTAGTAAGAAGGATATAAGATAAAAAAGCTGATTTCATCTATGCACCCATCCACTTATACACCCATCCACTTATACACCCATCCACTTATACACCCATCCACTTATACACCCATCCACTTATACACCCATCCACTTAT